TCGGCTCTTGCCATCCACTGGAGTGCTGCCGCCACCTGATGGACAGAGTGGCAGGGACAGGGACAGGGCCAGGAGCTCTGCTTCCCTCACCAGGGACGCTCTTTGAGCCCTTGCTGGGAGGCGGCGCTCGCTCCCTTGGGCTGATGCTGCCTACACACCAGCATCCCTTTGCAAACCCTGCGCATTAAGAGTTCACAACTTTTTTTACTTGTCAGAAAGCCTTGGAAGAGTTTGTTGAAAACACAACAAACTACTGACTGTGTCACTCTCTCTCCTTTCCTTCTTGCTCAGCGTAGCTTGAGGTGCAGCATTACAGGAGTCGATGGAAGATGCAAAGCCTGCAGGTGGAACAATTTCTGATGGCCAAAAAAATGGAGCTCTACATGAAATAAAAGCCTTTGCCTCTGCATGTTGACTTTGGCATGTTTATTTTGTTAGCCCATTTCTTTTTCCTGCAGCTTTGGCAGCCACAGTGGCATATTCACCATCCTCCAGCAGCAAGGAGCAAAGCAGCCTTCTGTGAAGAAATTTGTAATATCACCTGCCAAAACCCCACTTAGTTTGGTCACATATCTCTGAATCTAGACTCTGATGAGGTACCTTGGGTCTTTCTGTGCCATTAGTTCTGATTTTAAAGGTGGTATTTGAAGTTTGTCAGCTGTGCTTTAGCAGAGACAGGAGTCCAACCTGCCTAGGTGTCCCAGCTACCCAGCTCCTTTACCTGCTTGAGAAAATTGAAAGCATTGCTTCTGGGTGTGCAGCTGTGGATCCCATCTGTCTGTGCCTCCCAGTAGAGAGGCTTGTGTCCTGTTTGCTTGCTCCAGCCTATAGGCTTGTAACAGAAGGGAAGAAGGCCCACTTGAACATAGCTACTTCTGACTGAAAGAATGGGATTTTGTTTTACTCTTGCTGGAAGGAAATGTAGTGTTTCAATATAAGCCTCTAATACTCGCTGAAAAAAAATGAGAGATGAAAGATTTGCTTGACCTGATTGATGTTCTCCACAGCCTCCATTTCCTGACATGACAATAATTGATTCCCAGGCAGCCAGTGACCAGGGGATATGCAAGTACAGGAGACTATCTTCTGTATGTCTACAAGAGCAGCATATTAGCTCTGAAGCATGTGTAGCAGGTGAGGAATATGTTAGTTTGCAATGTATGGCTGGGCCTACTGGTAAGTAGAAGTCAGAAACCCTTGCTGACCTTGCAATAGCAATAGCCTGGTGTAACTCTGCGTACCCTTGAACATAGCTCAGAAGTGTCCCCGGTGCTGTGAGGCAGGAGCATGGGGATAAGACAGGCAGGCTTTGAGCAACCGCATCTGGTTAAAGGTGTTCCTGATTGTTGCAGGAGGATTTGAACTAAATGACCTTTAAAGGCTCCTTCCAACCCAAACCGTCCTATGATTCTATGGCCAAAAAAAAGTCTTTTGGTGACAAGTAATGTGTTCCCACTGCACTGCAGGCCAAACACACTGTTTCTGCAAAGGCCATGATCAGAGCAGGATCTTATCTTCAACACATATGTTACTCTGTCACAGAACCACAGACTGGGTAAGGTTGGAAGGGAGCACAGTGGGCCATCTGGTCCAACCTCCCTGCTCAAGCAAGGTCATCTGAGAGCACATGGCTCAGAATTGTGTCCAGACAGTTCTTGACTATCTCCAGAGAGAGAATCCATGACATCTCTAGGCAATCTGTTCCAGGGCACAGTGACTCGCACAGTAAAGAAGTTCTTCCTCATATTCAGGTGGAACTTCCTGTGCATCCATCCATTTCTGCCTATTGCCTCTTGTCCTATTGCTTGTCACCACTGAGAAGTGCCTGGCTTCATCCTCCTGACACCCACCCCTCAGATACTTATAGGCATTGATGTGATCCTCTCTCAGTAGTTTCTTCTGAGGCTGAACAAGTCCAGCTCTCTGCCCTTCCTTATAAGAGAGAGATGTTCCAGCCCCTTAATTGTTTTTGATGCCTGTTGCTTCTCCAGTAGAAGTCAGGGTAGTTAAAGGACCTCAGCAGAACCAGGGCTCATGACTGTGAGGCTGCTTCAAGCTGCCTATAGAAAGCCTCATCCACCTCCTCATCATCACCAGGTGGCCTGTAGCAAATACAACAGTCACCCTTACTAGTCTGCCTTTTTATCCTAAAAGCTGTCCTTTTGTCTATAAGACTATATATAATGTGTGCCCTTTTATCCATAAGCTCTCATCCACCTCATGACATCACTCAGCATCCACTCCAAGACAGAGCTCAATACATTCCAAGTGTTGCCTCACACAGAGGACAACTCTACCACTGTGCCTTCCTGATCTGTCTCTCCTCTCCCATAAGCCCAGGCCTGATAGAAATTCTTTCACACCATTGTTAGCTCTGGAAAAAAGAGGAAAAATTTTATTCCAGCACCTTTGAATTCAAAGGGTTAGAAGGAAGGTTCTAAAAATATTATTCTGGCCCCCCATATTTGAAATGGCAGGTGGGATGAGTCTGTCCACATAAAAAGTCTGGCCAGAAGAGGAAATGTGGATTGTATGGGGCTGCTCCCCAACACTTGGCTGCTTCTTGATCACACAGGCACACCATTTTTTCACACCGGTCTGTCACGTTATCTGCAAAAGAAAATGTGAGCGAAGGATGAGAGATTCTGTGTCAGACAAAGGCAAGAAACAGTTTTAGGAGGAACAATTCCTTAAAAGAGCAATTCTTAGGGATCACACTCCCTGCTCTTTAGAGCTGTGTGAACAATGGGGGTTTAGTTGAGCAAAGCTAAAAAAGAAATTTATTTTATCCTAGCCTGAGCTAAAGATATTCTACCTTTCCTCAGTCACTGAATTTCCCTTCTAACTCCTCCCTCTGCAAAACAGACTGATTTGAACAGAAAAAAAACAGCTGCTTTGAAAGGACGAGCCTCCCAGAGGGATACTGAGAGACCCGAGGGCATAGAAGCACCCACTGGGCATCTTTCACCCATGTTCCATCAGTTGCTGTTACATCTCTCTGATCACAGCAGAGGAGCCAAGGAACTCTGCAGCAGAGCCAGGTACCTGATTTTTATGAGCCAGCAGCTAACAAAGCAGATCAAAATCATACATGGAACTATATAGAATGTAACTACATGACTAGGTAAGGAACATAAAGAGCATCAAGGCCACTAGCTTAGGTGGCTACATTGCAAATGACTGATTTTGGGTTAATGAAGCTCATTCCATTAGCAGCCATGGTGCTAATATTATTTCAAAGCATGGTGCCTAATTTATTTCAGGCTGCTACCATAGATTATCTAATACCCACAAAACCCTGCACTAGGCAAAGTTTAATGTGTAACTTCATTTGCCAGTCAGTGCACATGGACTTTACTCCAAAACCAACTGTAGTGAGTATAGGAATTTTTTCAGGTTTCACTGGACTTTGTTGGATCAACCACTGTATTGGATAAATAAGAAAAGCCCATGTTTCCTAAGCTGGTCTGAATAATCAAATGTTTACTGGTAAAAAGTGTTTCTGGGGTCCCACTGATGAGGACTTCAGCACTAAGGCCACTTTTTTCTTAGCTACCAATCTTGCCTGATATTCTCCTTGTCCCTCTGCTCTTTGAATTCTTCCTGTGTTCTGTCGGCCACTGTCTGTCTAATGCATTTCTGTTAGAGCAGAACCATTTCTTTTTGACCAGATCCCACAACTTACAGCCTTTTCTATATTCCAGATATTTTTGAATGGAATTTGCCTACACATTATGACATTATCTGGACTGAAGAATATGGTTTTGCCAATTTTATTTTTCATTCCACAAACAAAACTACCTAATGGTAGCAAAAAGAGGAGAAATCCCAGGTAAAATCAGTTTCTTTTTAATTTACATGAAAATATCTGTTTATTATGCAGTGTCAGGCAACAGGCATTTAATTCCTGTTGCATCAAAAGGATAGTGCAAACAGTTCTGCTTCTAAGGCTTCTGGACATCATTACCATGAGCCCAGCAAGCATGCCTGGAAATGTAATCCTTCATCCCTTTTGTTTGAATGGGATCAGACATTACACCTTCACAGCCCAGTAAAACCTGCTGTGCTATAGCCTGAGGCAGTCGATTTGCCTTCAGAACACATTTCTATTGTTTCTCCCCACGGGGGATGTCAGGGGAAGTAAAGCCTGCTGAGGCCTTGTGGAGAGTAGTTGATGGATGCATCTCAGGTCTTGCCTGGACATCAGTTAAGGAACTAATGGCATTTGTTTAACTAAGGCTTGTTAGCCAAGTTGGAGCAACTGCAGCCCACTGCACTCCTATGGGACATACTTTGCACTTCTCATGGACTTGATGATATACCTCATATCTGCAACTTGGATTGATCCCTCACAGCAAAAAGAAATCAGATTTTTTCTTTCCTTATAAAAAATGACTCGCAGGAAATATTGGTGAGCTATGGAAATATGGGTAAGCAGTAGGGAGAGCAGCTGTACATTAAAGTGATACATTCCTTAGCCAGCACTTTGTATTTAATTACTCGTTCTGGAACTTGAAAAAGAGCAACTTCAGGTGTGCTGTGCCCTATCCCATATCTGCTGGCAGATTTTCAACTGCCGGTAGGGCTGCAGATTGCACCGGTAGAATATTATCTTCTGATAAGGTAGAAATAATATTTTAATGCTCAAGCAAGTAGCTTTAGAGATATGGAGCCAAGTTTTACTCTCATGTGTTTCTTTTCAAACTTTCCAAGTGTTCTACAATGGATTTTTCCACCAGGGACTTCTTAGAGACTTAGAAATAGAAGTGACAAATTCTAAGACTCAAGTCATCTGGTCTGTGTCAAAACAAACTGTGCAAGACACTGACGGGCTGTGACTGTGTAATTCAAACTTTCCTGACTGGGTACCAGCTGTAGAGCTGAGCACAGCCTACACTCACTGTATGCCTGCTGCACTTGAGAGCATTTGATTCTGCAAGACTCAA